TGCAGTTCGACGCAGGGGCCCACTCCTACGCACGATGAGGCGGCGGACCATAATAGGGGACTTGCTAGATTGAAATTTCAAAAAAACTTTACTGAATCAAAATCTTAAATAGTAGCAAATTTATAGACGCTGCTTTATTTCGCATTTCCACTTTTTCTTTGTCAGGCCAGTCAATAAGATGTATTACATGACATACGAAGGTGAATGAAGGTCACAAATCACAATTTTTTTTGCAAATCGCTATAGTTCATCAAAGTCTCTTATTATGTAAATGCTATGCAAATGAAACCATGGCTATGTCGTGAAAAAGTTAGTTTCTTGCTCCCTTGAACTTTAGAGTTTTTACTTTCACTCACTTCCATGTAGTGTAAAACTTAGTGCATTGAAATGGTATACACTGTGAAGAAAAGGAAAGAACACTTGAACACAAACAAGGTTCTTAGCCGAAAATGATATCGCATTTTTGCGGTCTGGTGTGAACTTTTGTACGATTATGCGGTGGAACCAGTTTTCATGATGGTATAAAACAGTCAGATGTGGACAAAATGTGTTACACATCAGTCTGCCATGGGCTCCTCGGAAGGTACGTGACTAATTATGTTTGTCAAGTGCTGAAAATCTTAACGTTGCTTGATCAATCAAATAGTAACTATTTCACAAAAACGCGTATTCCTCAGACTTTTGAAATTTAGAAGCTAAAACTATTCTCACACCCATCCTGGCTGAGTTAAGAAAGCAACGAGAAGCACGTAATTATGAAAAGGTATGTGCGGTTTATTTCTTTTTATCCACCTTTTATCTAGGAAAGTAGTGATGTTAAAACTTCTGTTACTAGATTTCTCTGCACTAGGACTATAATCCATTGCTTTGTAAGATCAATCACGACTCTTTTTCATACATTAGCTCTAAGGTGTCCGAATTCTATGATCTGAACGCTGTACACGTTCATGCTGGAAAAGAAGCTGTTTACGGGAAAGATGGTAACATGATAGTGGACTTCCTTTGTGAATATGGCTTATCTCTCACGTTTCAGCCATAAAAGAACATTCGAAAAAGTTCATCGACCGTTCTGGGAAGTTGACCCCTAAGGTAACAATTCTGTAGAAAACTCTTGGAAACATACAACTTAGTTCTAATTGAAGCTGTCCAACGAGAAGTTCGACATGGCAGGAGACTTCATCATTTTCACAGCTGACTATGAAACGGAAACGGAAAAGATCGGTGTACTCAAGGGCAAATTCACTCAGATATGGCGCAAAGCTAATGATAGTTATTTGATTCTGCACATTGAATATGCACCACAATGAATAATGCAACTTTCGTCTTTATTTGAATTTTAGAATAAATTCTTCCGCGGCCGAGTGGTTCC